ATATTTATGTTTGTGGTTGTAATGTGACAAAATATGGAAAAGTTCAAGGGGTATGAATACTTTTGCAAACCACTGTATAATATACAGATAATACAGTATAATACAATGCTGCAGATCGGATTCCAACAACAACTGTTTGGGTCCAAGCTGTGTCCTCTCCGAACAGCAAACATGAAAAGCAGAAGTGATATGACATTTGTCATTAGCCAGTCGTTTTACAGGAATAACTTTGGTTTTGCCACTTTTACTTTCGCTGGATTTAAATATCCTTTGGTCTATTCACCCCCAACCTCTTCCTTCCATTTTGTTCCTCCAAAGACGTGAAGGAAAACAGTTGAGAAATTAAATAATCCACCTCTTAAATTAATCCCGCTCATCTGCGCCGAGCCACGCCCACATACAGTCGTGTTCGAGTCACGTTATTGTAAGTCCACCCTCATTGGCTAAAGCCTGTGGCATTGAGCTGACCCTGAGATAAACAAGATTAGACCAAATAATCAGCAAATCAAAGGGGAGGGGCAAGGCATCTGTCAATCATTAAAATGTAACTAACGCCCACTGTAAAAGCATAACTCCGCCCCCAGGCAAATTTGAAAAAAAAAAATAAAAAAGCCAAGAAAGTGGGCATGCTAAGAGACAACGAGGGGCACGGCCAAAAGTGTGGGGATGCATGAAGTGATGTTAGCATCATTGCTAACGTTCAAAGCCGTAACAAACCTTCCTCGCAGTGCTCGCTATTCCAAAAACTGACTCGCTTAAGAGGCGTGTCTCTGAGAGGCTTTCATACCCCAACATGGGAGCTGTGACGTGAGCATGTACCGTTTTAACTAACAGGGAAATTCAACTGCAGTAGCCACCGTTTAACCCATAGAGGGCAGCACTGAGACGTTTTTAGACAAAATGCTGCAAAATTAAACAAATTTACAAGAAAATGTTGAAATTTACCCTAAATATAAAGATATTACACTTAAGGCACAATTTAGACAGTTTAACTGTCAAAAAAGCGTTGATTTGGGGTTTAGTTACACTTTAAATCAGTGGTGGGCAATCCTGGTCC